AATGATCATTTATAAATTTTATTCTATAAAACTTATAAAACTAATAATACATGTGATTATGTGAGACTTATAATAGAATTAATAAGGTGGTGTTTTTTTTTTCTAAAAAAATTATTATTGTAGTTGTATGAATTATTTAAATTTCAGTATTGTAAAACTAAAATTATTTAAATCTCAGTATTGCAAAACTCTTTTAAGTTTAAAAAATCAGTTTATTTATATTTCAGTTTATTTTAGCAGTCTGCAGACGTTAAAAAATAAACAGTATTCTTCTTACAGACTGCAGACTTTTGGTCCACCTCTTCTGCTGCATATGCCTGCAGATGTGGTCCGCAGACTGCAGACCTTTTACCTCTGCAAAAACAAACACCACTTTAGTCATCTCTTCTTCAACGTTTTTGTATGATTCTATGCTTTTCTTTAAATGGTTCTGGTCTTCATGCACTTGACTAGGATAAAGTGGCGTCAAAGTGATTTTCTTACCATTATGGGTGATATAATATTTGTTTGTAAACCCATCATAGATTGCTCGTCTGTCGAATTGCCACGGTCTTCCCAAAAGTATATGTCCAACATCCATTGGTACAACATCAAAAATAACTTCATCTTGGTATTTTCCAATTGAAAACGGGATGACAACTTGCTTTGTGACAGTTACTTATCCTCCGTCATTTAACCATTGAAGTTTATATGGATTCAGGTGCTTAGATGTCTTCAAGCCAAGCTTTTCTACCATAAGGGTACTTGCAACATTCGTACAACTTCCTCTATTGATGATCATGAAACAAACTTTGTTGTTTACATGACAACGAGTATGGAAGATGTTTTCTCTTTGGTCATCTTCTAAGATTTGAGTGCTTCAAGCCTTTTTAACGACAAACACTGGTCTTGAAGCTGTATGAAAATCAAGCAACTCTTGTGACATGTTTAGTGGGAAAAAAAAATTAAAAACCTTACCAGCACGCTCACAAAATCCTCACTTGGTCTCTCCAAAGAAAATTCAGATTTCACTCCACTCACACTCGTGTTTGCACTCGAGATATGTTCTTGGCTTTTTCTGATCCCCCTTTTGATCTCACCATCTCTGTTGCCTTTTTCCTCTCAGTTCTCTCTTGTGGGTCCTTTAGAGAACTAACTCAATATTGAGCAAGTTTCTTTGTTTGTTGCGCCAGCTATAGGAAATGGTTAGTATATAAATGGATAGTATATAAATGGATATGGTAAAGGTATGATAGAATGGGTAAGAAGAGATAAGGTAATGAATAGGAAATGATGAAAGCAAAGGAAATGAAGTAAAGAGAAAAATGAAGATAACTTACAACCCAAGATGTAACACTTACTATCTTCCTTCACAAGAAACAACAAGGACACCTCCTTCAAGTTTGATGTTGAGCAAAATGTAATGTGCTTCCTTTGAGTGTAATTTGTAACTTTTCTTCTTTGTTTTGAATTTCCTTTTTTTTCTTTTCTTTTTGTACTCAAAATTTGATGTAGGAGTTATTTTCTTTTTGTTTTTCTTCTTTCTTTTTGCTTTGCTGCAACACTTTGATTGTCAATCCAACTAAGCTCTGAATACCACTTGATGTAAGGCTATCCAAGCTTCTTCAATGATGGAGAAGATGATAGCCTTATTGTTTCCCGATCTAGGAGAGACACCAAATGCCACACTTGAATTAATAAGTAATCTGCACAAATAAATGAAAGAAATAATTAAAATGGAATAAGAAATTAAGAAAGAAATGAAATAATAAGAAATAAAAGGGATAGAGTTGTTATCAAAGGTAGGTTGCGGAAGTGATGTAGAAAGATCCTTCAAATGGAAGTTGATTCAGCCTCCAATGGTGATGATGGATGTTGACCTTGATGAATAATTAAGGATGTTTCAATGTCATTGAAATGGTAATGGAAATAGAGATGGTATAGGCGTGAAGGTGATAGAATATGGAAGGATGAAGGTAGAATCTTAAATAAGTTAAAGAGGAAGAAAAACTATAGAAAGTTTAACCCCGTTCTTTATAAACTTAAATAAGGGATGGTAGGATCGGACTTGAACCCTCTAGTTATAAAAACTAGGAACTCAAAGTACAAAGGGAAAGGATTGACGCCACAAACTTAGAAAGTTTGCTTAATCGATAAAGTTCTTAAAGAACTTGCAAGAGAGAGTTTATATTAATCAAAAGGGTTGAGTTTAAAAATGAATAAGCCTTCATATTTATATGATTTGGAAGGGCTGGCTGAATAATTACATGCCTATTCGGTTAGATACATAACTTTAAATGAAAATCCATGATGTATGGATGAATGAAAATATCCCTTGGCCTTGGTGTTGGTTCGGCTAACCCTTCATGTAGGAGCATGACCATTCGGTTTGAATTTGAAGACTCGTCTCCCTTGGCCGAATATATATACATCCCTTCACTTTGGCGCCAAGCCTTGGGCATGTGCTAGGCGTGTGCTAAGGGTGTGGCCGAATGGTGGTATGGGCTGCGTCATGTCTCTTTGCAAATTAAGCTTTATTTAGCTACAACAAGCTCACCAACGTGCACCTATGTGACATGGCATCCAATGGGCGGCAACTTGTCATGAAAGGTCACATTGTGTATGAGGTAACCTTTCATCAATTGAGCTACTTCCCATGTGTATGAGCTGAAGATGAGCTGGCCATAGATGAATGACATGTAGGTGAGTCTTTGAACAGCTCCTAGTGAAAGGGCACCTCTTGGAATGGCAACTATTCGTGAAAAGGCATGATTCCACAAAAATTGACCTAGGTCATATTTGAAGTACTCTGTGTGGTGGTGGTGATGGTGCAACTCTCAAGCTAAAATGATATGTCTAGCTAGCTCAAAAGTCCAGCTCAAGTCAGCTATGAGCTCAGAGGGTAGCTGACAACTTTGTCCCAAAATGTTCTTGAACTGTTCCAGAGTTGTCCTAGTCATGTTTCCATAGCTCTTGGACTCCAATGCTAGCTTAAGTTAGCTTCCATCATGTGACCGCATATGTACCTACAAAAGAAAGCATAATATAAGCTAAGTATTAAAAGCAATAAACATATAAAGATGTGGTTCATAGATTATATTATATGTTAACATGAAACATAAATATATAATATATTGCTTGATGATGCATTTTTAAAAGATTCAAAGGTTTTAATGCATTTAGATGTAAGAGCTTCCTTGAATAATTTAGCCCTTGATCGAGTGATTGGTCCTTGTGCATCACTTCCATGTCCTTTGAAGATGGCGTTAGTGTGCTCACATCATAAACGAACCTAACGAACACGAACTAATGTATGTTTATGTTCTTTTGTTTAAACTTTAAACGGACAAACGATCGAACACGAACAACTAAACGAACGAAATTTCTTATTCGTGTTCGTTCATTAAGAAATTTAGTTTGTTCGTGTTCGTTTATGTTCGCTCGTTAAAATGATAAACGAACATAAAAGAACAAACGTAAATGAACAGAAACAAACGTACATAAACGAGCGTAAACGAACATAAACAAAGGAACATAAAATTAATTGGGCTTATATTTTGAGAAGATTTTCTCCCCAAATAATTTTAGGATTTATATTTTCTTTAATTGATTTGAGTATTTTTATTTGAGTTTAAAATTAATTGAGTTTTAAAATATTAATGAATTTAAGGTTAAAATTTATTAATTTCAAATGGGTCTGGAGATTGAGCTGAATATAAATAAACGAACATAAACGAACGGATTACGGAACGTTTAAGAACGTAAATGAACAAACGAATCCTTTGTCCGTGTTCGTCCATTTAATTAAACAAACATAAAATCTTGTTTATGTTTATTCATTTGATCAATAAACGAACATAAATAAACTTCTTCCCGAATAATTTATTAACGTTTTGCTCAACATTGGATTCGTTCGCTTGACCTAATTAACAGATTTGGGTAACAGTTGAGCCGCGCTAAGTTAGACTGAGGCCAGGATTGGGTTAGTAAAACCCGGTTAAATCCGACCCGTTCCCTTCATAATTCTTAATATCGACATGGCAAAGTTTTGTTGGGAAGTTAAATCGAACCGCTCCCTGTTCAAAATAAATCCCCATTCCAATCAGTTTCATCGAGAACTCTTCCGATTTTTCATGATCGTGGTTCTTATTTTTCTCCTTTTTCGATGGCCACAGCCACCGTCGACAACCACAACCACCTCTACCTCGAATCTATCCCCGTCGTAGACCTCCGTCTCCGCTCCCAACCCGAACTCCTTTCCCTATCTTTATGCACCTCTCATCCTTTCCCTTCTAATGCCGAAACCGAACTGTTCACTCCCAAAATTGACCGCTCCGTTTTAAACGAGTTCGCCGGTAGTCGGAAACAGACTTTCTTCCGCCTCCGCTTCGCCGCACCCCGCAGCCACCTACACAACTAACATTCTTCTCCTTCCTCCGAACCCTTCGCTCATCTAAACCTAAACCCTGAATATCTTAACGAAGAAAGCTCCAACATCCTCTCTCTGCTTAAATCACTTTTCAACATCGATGATTCGCTGACTGCTAACCCCGAAAGCGATGAACCGTACGAGGACAAGGATCTTGTGCCAGTTCAAATCGAGTATACGAACGAAAACTCGACTTTGCATAACGCTCCAGTTGACATTGTTAGTAGTAGTATTAGTGTAGGAAAAAGGAAGCGAGGGAGGCCGAGGAAGGACCGTAAAGATAATTGGCTGATTGAGAGCGAGCCTTTACCAGTAGAGGAATATAAAGAAACGGAAGCCTTAGATAAAACAAATGAGGCACCGGGTGCCAGTAATAGTAGCAGTTGCAACGGAGTGAAGAGGGGGAGAGGCAGGCCACGAAGGGAGGAGGGTCAAAGTAGAACAATTGGAAACGAGCAAAAGAAATTTGAGAGCGAAATTGAGAGGGCAGCATTGGAGAATGTGGAGAAGATTCTGGGAATTGAAGAAGAGTTGAGGAGGACTGAGGGGATTGTGACAGAGGCGCAACTGTTGGAGTTTATGGGGGGTTTAGATTGACGCCGCTGGGTTTGGGAATGTGCTTCCACAAGGGTGGAAGCTTATGCTCTTTGTGAAGAGGAGAGGCAGCCATTTTTGGTTAGCTTGTAGCCGATATATAAGGTTTTCCAGTACTTTTCTTTTATTGAACTTTATTTTAAAATTCTTGTTTATGATAACTTGCATATTTTATCAACGCTGTTTACTTTCTGCGAATTATAATACACATAATTTCTTGTTAATGACAGTCTTTTTTAGTTGAATTTTCGTCCTCTTTTTTTAATCAATTTTGTTCTTGTTAATGTCGTTGTTTTATCAATTTTCGGGGTTAATTTTATATTACATTCTATTTGAATTTTAATATAATGCTATTGAATCCTTTCTGTATAGATTTTTGAGTATTATATGTTGTTCTTGTTGGTTTTAGTCCTCAGATTTGCTGTTGCATGCATGATACCAAGTAGGAGAGATGTAGAGCACTTATTAAGGAAGAGGAACTAGATAACAATCAGACTCAAGAAATTTGTTTCTTATGATTTTCAGTTTTCAATTCTCTTTTTGTGAACTTTGTTGCTCATGTCATTCTTACACTCTTTTCCATAATTTGGTACATTCCAGCCCTAATGGACAACAGTTTGTTTCCTGCAAGGAGGTTTCTTCATACTTGCTCTCCTTTGGTGGACTTAAAGATTCAAGCCTGGAAACTTCAAATCTTGCTGACAAGGGCATTGATTTTGCTGTCAAACCCTCATCCGGAAATGTAAGTTTCTTATTGTGTTTGTATTTATTACACTTCATCTCCACTTGATTCTGCAGTTGTTGATGAGAACGTTAAATGTCGTCCACAGTTGCCAACTACATATAGATCTTCTGAAAACGAGAAGGGAACTCCCTTACAAAGAATGGGGAGTCCAAGGGAAGTCCAGAGAGCTGAAATAATAAAATGCCACAAATGCACCATGACTTTCAATTTGCAAGACGATTTTATATGCCACCTGTTATCATCTCACAAAGGATCAGCAATGAGTTCGGTAGATGGTACCTTAACTAATGAGGAGGTGAAAAACAAAAATGGAAAATATGAATGCCAGTTTTGTCATGAACTATTTGAAGAAAGGAATTGCTACAGTAGCCATCTTGGGATCCACATGGAAAACAATATGAAGAAAGTTGAAGGTTCTGCTGGAGAGCAAAACATCATCCAGCCATTAAATTCCGCTCCCAACAACAAAATGGGGTCTGGTACTCATTGCAGTGAATCTAATGAAAATCCTCTGGTTCAAAGGTTTACTGATAACAATCATGAATGCAATTTATTGTCTCATGATGAACAGGATAAGGTTAACAGGAATGAAAGAGTGTTAGCTGATAAAAATTGTGAGACAAAGTAAATTCTATTCTGCAGCTGATAATAAAGGAGATGTCAATGCTGCTGCTGTAGCTGCTGATCTTAATGTTTCTTTGGGTTCTGAAAATGTCTTGTTTACTGCTGACAAAGAAGGGATTTCCCAACCTTCATGTAAAATAGATGTGGGATTTGCCATTCCAGTGGATGAGAATAAGAGAAAGTGTGCTTCAGGCACCAGTTTCCTTCCAAATTCTAAGGGAAATATGTTTACTGATGAAAATATTGAGGATAGACATTTTCCTAGTTTTTTGAAACGGATGGAAGCTGATTTGAAGGATAAAGCTACAAAGGATGATCGAAAAACTGGCTGTGCTGATACTAGAATAAGGCTGGATAATGCTAGAATTGATTCTAAGCCGGAAAATTATAGTGAAGGTTATTCACTCATTCCTTCCGGCAACAATAAAAGAGTTAATTTCGTGGATCATTTGAAAGGGGCTTCTGTTACAATAGATTCTGCGCATAAAAGAGGATCTGGATGTGGTTTAACTTCGTCCAAAGATAGTCAAACATGTGTCATCAACAATAATTCAATTCTAGTCTCTGGTACATTAGATGATCCAGCATCTATTATGGTCAATGAGTTTGCAAATATTGGCCCTACTGTTTCTTTTCAAAGCCATTTCCCTATGAAGAAACCCTCACAAGATAAAAGTGAAACTGTCTTGCTTGCTTCACATGGAAGGGAGCAAATATTTCCTTCGGACAATAATGCATTTAAGGTCTTTAGCCGGACAATAGAGATGTCTGAACTTGATGAAGGCCAAAATTCTAGAGGATTAATTCAAGGTGTCAACAGGCATGACAGTGGTGTGGGTGCTAACAATCTGGCTTGTGTCAAGCATGAAATTAAAGATAGTCAATTTGGCCCATCTTCATATAAGAAAACATCTACCTGCACACCAGAGTATAAACAGGGTAAAGGGTCTGAGAGCATTCTCTATCAACAATATGCTAATCAGCAAAACAGTAACTATGAAAATAGTATGAACAAAGTTTCTCTCTTTACAATAGAGGAGCCCAAACACAAAGGGGGAAGCTTCTTTTCTGGAAATGCTTATTCTAGACCAGGACCATTTGCTTTGGCAACGTGCAGGGAAGTTGTTCCCCTCATTTTTCTGGAAATAGGGAGAAAATTGCTGGTAAAAATAATGTACCTGGTATTAGCAGTGGTGCTGTTCATGAACTAAAGCAAAATAAAGATCCTTTTGGGAATTTCTTTGGTCTATCGAGTAGTGAACAAACACATGTTGCAAATAATTTGAACATGGTTCATGCAGGCACAGCACATAATGGGTCTAGGTTACAGGGTTTTGAAAATGCAGGGAATAATGAAATAATGATTGGCTATTCCAATCATGCCCGACCTATTGAGGATTCCGTGACTGGGCTCACATGGAAAAGTAATGAAGGAAATGTTCTGCTGAGTGGTTTGGCTGATACTTCATCCCAGCTGTTGCCATCATCTGGTTATTACCCTACATTTGACTGGATGTCACATAAGGTACAGATTTGATCTCTCATTCTCTGCTATAAGTTGTACTACAATGCAAAAAAGCATGAAACTGTTATTTTTCTCAGAAAAAAGTATGATATGTGTCGAGTGTTGTAATGTTATGTTTATTTCTAGTTCTTTTCAAGATATGGTTATTGAATTTTAAGTTTTTTAACTTAATGGTAATAAAGGTCTCGGGCGATTGCAGATGTTCTCAGTACACATAAATAAATTATTTTTGCCCACTCGGTGCAGCTTTTAAATAAATTAGTGTTATTTTGGTTAAAGAATTTTGACACTGCAATATTCTTGTAATTGATAGGGTGAAAGTGAAATGTTTGACATTAGTGGAAAGGGCAGCAGTGCATCAGCTTTTGAAGGCCTGCAATCAGATAGCATAGAACATATGGAATATAATTTTCTGACTGCTCAATCAAGTTCTTGTTCAGGAAATTCCAAGGTATCATTATATGATTGAGAGGTTGTACTGAAAGTAAACAATTGCTTAAAATGAATTAGTGGTAGTTTTCTTAACCAAATTTGACTGTATTTTTGTAATGGACAGGGTGGAAGTGAAATGTTCAACATTAGTGGGAAGTGCAGCAATGAACCAGGTTTTGGAGGGCTGCGATCTGATAACTTAGAACATATGGAATATAGTTTTATGACTGCCCAACTGAGTTCTCGTTCAGTAAACTCAAAGGATGTTCTGCCACTGTTGCCTAAAATAGCTGGCAGACATCAGGTTTCCTTGTGTCCTTGGTGTGGAAATGAGTTTTATAACGAGGCTGTTGACGTCAGGGCACAAAGAAGCACGGTTATGTGTGCCAACTGTCAGGCTAGGTTCTCTAGGAACTGTGATTTTATGTAGAATAGCATGTTTACAAGCATAACAACATGTCTGATTCCCAAGCTCTTTGATTCAAGGTAACACTCCCACATCAGGCGAAACTATTATTTGCTGAATATAAGCCTAGTTTTCTTGATTGGACGGATTGATTGATGCATATACCATTAACTAAAGGATTTAACCCTAGAACCATTTTGCTATAGTTATGTTATATAACTGGAGAATACTTCAATAATACTTCGGCCAATGGCAGATTACATGTAACATTTGATAGTACGACTTTGAAGACCTTTTTCCTCCCAAAACTAACCTGAAAAATATTGTCCCTGTTTTCACTTCTTTCTAGTACAAATAACCCACCAAAATAACCGTTAAGCCCCGTTTGGTTCACGGATTAAAACATTCTTGGGAGGAATCTTTTTTTCCCGTTTAACTTACCCACGTTTGGATGGTTATTATTCCCAAGTGAGGGTAAACATAGAATACAAACAGTAGTTTTTTTTCCTGTTTTACTGGGAATGTTAATCCTCCAGCTCCCTTCGGTATTTGAACATTCCCGTCCCTCTTGGCTAAAATACCCTCTCTTTGTTAGCTTGATTCTGCGAAGGAAAACATTGCATCTTCTTCGATTTGGCGAGAGTTGTCCTTTTATTCTCTTTTTTCTTCTATTTTTTGAGCATTTTCCCTTTTTTTATGAATCTCTAATTGAGCGTTTCCCCTTTTTTATGAATCCCTAATTATGCTTGGTGTTGGTTCTCTGCAGCCTGCAAAGCAAGGGGCTCTGATCTTAGGGTTCATTTCAAGGTATTATCGTCAAAACTGATGGAATTTGATTTAACTATTGCATATTGATATTAAGTTCTGGGTTTTTGTTGGATTTTTATTCAGAAACCTGTGTGTCATGTACAGTTGAAGATCCAGTAAATTATTCGATGCTAGTAAATGAAGAATCAAATCACATCATGTAAATACATTATATTTAAGTCTTTTATATTAATGGTATTTGTTAAATATGTCATAGTATTATAGTATGCATAATCGAATGGTCATCGTAGTTAACAATTCTATTAAATGATTGAAGGTTGCTGTTAAGAGGATCTTTTTGTGTGATTTGATTAATAATTTTGAGAATGCGTTTGTTTATGGTTTTAGATTTTCTTGGCCAAGTATTTAAATTCTTAAACCTGATGACAAAAGCAGAGTCTTGTTGTCGTTTGCAAACAAGGCTCTCGTAAACTTCAAAAAAATTACCCTACATTGTTATTGGTAACATAAGAATCAGTAAAGGATACAACATTTCATGATCCTTCATAAATAAGTTAGTTTTTGAATTAGCTGTGATTTAAGAATGAGTTTGCTCAGTTGTTGTTGGTGGTGTGTTTTGATGTTTGGTTGGTCTACTTTTATGAACTTTCAAAGTATCGGTTTTATGATATATTTCCGGGTGTTTTTTTATGTTGGTTGTCTTCGATGATACTCATACCCTATTATTGTTTTATAGAACACCAGGGAAACAGCTTTTGCCATTAGAAAATTGCCTTTGGTTAAGGCAAAGAGGTATTTGGAGGATGTTATGGCTCACAAGCAGGCCATACCATTCCAACGCTTTTGTGGAGGCGTTGGACATACAGCACAGGCAAAGAACAGACATTCTAACGGGCAAGGTCGCTGGCCTGTAAAATCGGCCAAGTTCATTCTAGATTTGCGGAAGAATGCTGAGAGCAATGCCGAGGTATGCCTTACTTTATGGTTTCTAGTTTTCGCCATCAATTCCATTGCTTCCCCTTTCTAACAGTTTGATATTAATTTCCCAGGTCAAGGGTTTGGATGTCGATGCACTCTATATTTCTCACATCCAGGTAAACCAAGCCCAGAAACAAAGGCGTCGTACATGCATCATAACAACCATCCTTATCCATATAATTTTTTAGGCTCTATTTTTCTTATGTTTATTGAACTCTGATTTTTTTGCCAGCTTACATGTCTTCTCCTTGCCACATTGAGTTGATTTTGTCCGAGAAGGAAGAGCCTGTCAAAAAAGAGGTGAGTCGATTAAAATTGAAGTTTCCTTGATGAATGAAAGATATGTTACAGCGACTCCGCTATGGGGTTTGTTGGAGCAACATAGAATGAAAACATCTGTTCCGCTTTTCCATTTTATGTTGGTAAATCATCCTCATTTTGTGCTTTCAGCCTGAGACTCAATTGGCAGCAAGCAAGTCCAAGTAATCGCACGCTTCCTATTGAGTGAAAAAGTTTGAGAATTTGAGTCAGCTCAGTGGTTGGATTTCTTACATTTTTGAGGAAGTTTTGATATTTAGATGTATTGGATGGTTTCCTTTGTTTTCAGACCATATTTTAGTCATACGTTTTCTGAGTCTTTTCTTGGAGATTACCTCGATTGCAGTATTTTTCTTTTATTTTCGGTTGCATTTATACTCTTGAATTCATATGTAATAATTTTTCTTTTTAATTGGGTAAAGTACATACGAAATCATTGTAGCTTATGACTGTTATGGTGATTGAACTTTCAACTTCCAAAATAATTATTTTCTTTTTCTCATGGTTATAAAGAAATCATCAAATTTTATCGAATTTTTTAAAATGATCATCAAATTATAATGTATTAATTGGACGGCGATGATGACGCGTGTACATAAGTATTGTCTTCAATCATTTAATGATTGTTTAAAAGATTATATTTAAATATTTTAAAATATTATATATAAGCAATGTGATATTTGAAAATAACATGACAAAATTTGTTAATTTTAAATTGTCAAAGATAATTCTTAAATTTAATTAAACTTATATCCGTACGACAATCAAAGATTATTTAAGGAGAGAGAGATATTATTTAGAGAGAGAGAGAGATTATACTATTATTCTTGAGTGAGATTGAAGTTTTTTCATCCTATATCCAAATTCAATCCGATTAAACTTTATAATTAAAAAATGTCAGTTTTGATATGACTTTAAAAAACGTCAAACATTAAGATCTGGAGAAACAATTAGTAGAGTTGTTGATGTAAAATTTTAATATATTTTTACATAAATTATGTAAAATTTAATATTAATTAAAATAAAAATAATACATTGATATATTTAAATACTTAAGTAATATATTATCGACAGATAGAATTTTTATATAAATAATTTTTTTTAAATATTTAGAATTTCACTTGTTAAAAAATATAGACCAAGGACAATTTAGTAAAATATACATTCCAGTAATATTTTATTCCTTCAACCAAACATTGTAATCTTACATTCATGCCAAACCAACCAAACACAGTAATATAACATTCACAGTAATCCTATTCCCTGGTAATCGTTTATTCCCACTGATAATCTTACATTCCGTGAACCAAACGCACCCTTAATAACTTTTAGGAATCACAATAAACAATATAAATTAAACACACAATAACTGATGCAAACAACTAGCGACCAATGCATAATAAAAATTAAAAATAGTGTACTAAATCTTATAGCCACCCTTGCTTCTACGGTGTAGACCTTAGTAAGTGCAGATCTAACAAGTTCCCAACACGAGTTGATATAGTTCAAGTTGATTTTGTTTAAGTAATATGACTCAACATGATTAATGGAAATGATGATATCCCCTATATGCATTAGCGTACAATTTTGTAATTTTTGTGCTTGGCATTTTATTTTCTGGAATAGTACTAATGATATGCTTCTGTTGTAAGGCTTTGTTTGGCATGAATGGGAAGAAGTGAGGATGAATAATTTGTTAATCAAATGATTAAGATTCATGACCACTTTCTCATGTTGTAGCTTAACCATTATTAGATTAACAAATTTTTCATCGTCGCTCCTTTCCATCCTTCGTACCAAGCACAACCTCAACATTGTAAGGAATAAACATCGTCAGAGTTTTCGGCATCCTTCAGTGGGATTCAATCTAGTTGATTCAATTCAAGGTTATTTTGAAGCTTGGGCTGTGCTATAGTTCAATATATAATATGATCTTTACATTGCAACATACCCAAACTTGGCACCAACTGCCGTTCCTAAAAATTATTAAAAGATGGTAGGTACAATGTGTACTCATGTATGATTTTCGGAAAGTTATAGATCTGACGCCATGTATTTGCTTTAGCTTATAATGTGATGTGCCCTTTCCTTTCAAATGATATTATTGAAGTTCTAGTCACTCCACTCAGTTTTTCAACTTGCAAAAATAACTTGAAATATACATTTATGAAAAAATGAGTCTATTGGTGGCACTCTTACAAGATACTGATGGGGTCAAAGCTGTCTTTTTATATAGACAAGTTCAAGTGTTCTAAAATTTGGTCATGAGCTTTTTGTATGTGCCTGTGTTTGGTCTATATGCTCCTCATTTTTAGGAGAGCATCAAAATGAAATGAATGGGTTGACTCTTTATTTCTTGCTTCTTTCTAATGGCATTTGAATAGACAGCTATTGTAAAAGATGGTAGATAAATGTAGATTAATGGCTTCTAAACTTTTGCAGACAGAATCTGAAACAAATTGAAGGCTGAACTAGTCTGCTTATGGGTTGATCAAATTATTGTCCTCCCAACGCAGAGTTTGCAGTTCTGGTATGATTTTAGTTGTCTTGTTGTTGCTTTTCCCTTGGTCTATATCATCTAGTTCATCAGTTGTGTTGACATTTGGTTTTCAAGGATATTGTGCGGTCTGTTCATTTCCAGCACAAGTAAGAAGCGAGAAAGCTTTACACACTGACTTGGGCATAACTGACGCCCATAACCTTGGCTTCTGTTGTACTTTTACGCATTTTAAATGTTGTGTGCAGCAAATTACTTTTTTGACGAATGTGCTGCTCGGGTCTTGGCTCATGTGTGTATATATCACAATCTGACTCCCCCACCCCCTTTTTCTTACCGTTGGTATGCTACTCTAAAGTCTAAACTAGAGCTGTAGGTTAGCAATTAGCATTAGAGACCTCAGCACCCCAACTCGTCCCGTGGATTTGCTCGATGATTCCTTGTAAGAGTAGTTGTCGAGAACTCTATGTTGTATTCAACAACAGGTGGTTTTCAGTGTTTTTAGTCCTTAGATATGAACATTTTATTTTCTGCTTTGTTTGCACTAATCTTGCTATTTTCATGACCAAATTTTGGAAGTTGGGACTTTAGGTGTTTCATACGAGCAATGTTAACATTTCATATGGCATTCGGCAGCGTGATCTGTAACCATATTTGTTTTTCAGTAGAGATGATAGTGGATTTAATATTTTATCACTTGAATCTTATTCTTTATTTGGGATTTGTTTTTCTTGTATTTTACGATTTGAATGTTGTTCTTTATAAGGTAGTGATATCAATTGCATTCATGAAATATCTTGATATAAAAAATAATTTTCCAGCCTATGTTTGAGTCTATTATATGTACTTGGAACTATCAAAGTTCGGTCGACCAAGAAGTAATTTCTACAATTTATAGTTATATTTCTTTGTCAATTTAATAATTAATAATGTGTATTTAATTCTATAATGTGTTTGAACACTATAGATCAGGAAAGTGTAACAACTAATGTTCTTTGGATTCTAATTTCTATACATTCATATTCAATTACTTTCTATACATTCGTGTTCCAACAACAAAACCCTATTCCCATATACAATATAAGGGGGAGGTAGGGTAGTAGGCTGCCCCAACGCCAGGTTGAAAGCAGCTTCCGTGAAAGACATCCGGCAGTCAGAAAATTAAAAATAAAGATAGAATGCAATACATGTATAGTTAAATAAATAAATATATAGTTGAACAGCTTAAATAATGCAATCTTCAATATGCGCGTCTGTAAATGGGAAGTAATCCTTGCAAATAAATCACTGCATAAGAATCTCTGCAATAGACAGAAACGTAAGAACCGACAAAATTTAAAAAGAGAAAACATGAAGAGAATGATACACAGAAGTCAACGATAGCAAGCTACGAGAAGGAATAAATAAAATGGGTTAAAACCTAAACAAAGGCAACAATACTCCGCTACCCTAGTTCTAAGCCTCCATAATTTCCATTGACATAAACGTATAAAAAGTAGAAGTCATGTAAATTACTACAAAGACATTAAAAGAAGACAGAGATGATATACCCTACGGATCTGACCCGCACTACTCGGCTACCCTGGTCTTAAGTCTCCATAATTTCCTATCAGAGGTCATGTCCTCGGTAAGGTCTAAATCCTTCAAATCAGATCTCAAGCAGTCTTCCCACTTCCACCTTGGTCGTCCTTTCCTTCTGGCACCATCGACTGTAATCGACTCTACCCTCCTGACCGCATCCGACGGTTGTCGCCTAAGGACATGTCCAAACCACCGTAGTCTTCCCTCCCTCAAGTTTTCGGATACAGGCACCACCCCCAAGGACATCCTAATAGCAGAGTTTGGTGTCATGTCCCACAGAGTCCTACCACATGCCCATCGAAGCATTCTCATTTATGCGGCCTCTATCCTCCTTCTTGAATGCCCAACATTTTGATCTATACAGTAGCGCTGGTCTTATTGTCATTCTATAAAATTTTCCCTTAAGTTTTAGAGGCACCTTCTTGTCACACAAAACTCCAGTATCAACCCTCCACTTTAGCCATCTAGCCTTAATACGGTGTGTAACGTCGTCATCCACACCCCCATCTTTATGTATCATAGACCCTAGGTACTTGAAACAATCATTTGATGGGAGAACGTGTCCTTCTCTACATACTTCTTCATCTTCATCGTTTTGGTTCCTACTAAAGTTTGAACATAAATACTCTGTCTTTTCAATATTGATCCTTAGACATTTTTCTTCCAAAGTAGTCTTCCAGGTAGCCAGTCTACTATTCAGCTCAGTTTTTGTTTCAACAACTAGGACAATGTCGTCAGCGAAAAGCATACACCATGGAACCTAGTCTGGTGTCGCACAAAAGATGTCGTCCATATTCAAGGCGAAGATGTAAGGGTTAAGAGCCGACCCCTGGTGGAGTTCGATTTCTAATGGGAAAGCCTCGGTGTCACCAACTGTAGTCTTGACGAATGTAGTAGATCTACAGTACATATCACGAATTGCCCGGATATAAGCCGTTGGGATCCGTCTCGATTCCAAGGTCTTCCAGATCGTATCGCGGGGAACTCTATCATACGCCTTCTCAAGGTCAATGAACGCCATGTGAAGATCTCTATTTTTTCCCTATATTTCTCCATAAGCCGTCGGAGTAGATGAATTGCCTCCATAGTAGACTTGCCTGACATAAATCCAAATTGGTTTTTCGAAACCCTAGTAACATGTCTCAACCTAGCCTCTATCACCCTTTCCCATAGCTTCATGGTATGGCTGAGTAGTTTAATACCTTTGTAGTTGCCACAACGTTGGGGATCTCCTTTATTCTTATAGATTGGTATCACCGTAGACTCTCTCCACTCCTTTGGCATCTTGGCAGTCTCTAATATAATATTAAAGATATTGGTCAACCACTTAACACCCTCTTCTCTTAGGGCCAACCACACAGTGATAGGAATTTGATCTGGACCGACAACTTTGTCCCTCCCCATCTTTCTAAGAGCCATTTTGACTTCCTCAAACCCAATCCTACTTGTAGGGCAGTCATTGGCCGTAGTATGATGGTCGGCTGACCCATCAACGATACTATCTCTACTGGTAGAGGCACCGTCATTAAATAAGCCAAAGAAATAACTACCCTAAACCCTCTTAATATCATGATCATTGGTCATAATCATTTTTTTTCGCCATTCAATAGGCAGGTGCTGGTGATGTAATTGATATTAAAACATTTTTTCTAGTCTTTTCTAAATTATTTTTTTCTTAAAATTGATAAAATTTAAATCAAACATTTATCCTTATCTTAGCTTGATCCATAGTTTTATTCGCTTGATCTATAATCTTGCTCGTTCGATCAACATGAAATTTCCTTTTTCAAGCTCCACATTGCTAGAATTTGAAAGAAAATCTTTAACATTAATAAATAAAAATCTTAATATCTGAATTTGAGATTTTAAATATATGAAATTGAGATTTCCTGAATTTGAGATTTAGATAGAAGGAAGGAGTTTGTATAGATTTACCAAAATATTTTTTAGTTTTTTGCATATTTTTAAGAAGTTAAAAAACCAATGGTCAAAAACAAAAATCTCTTGATCTAGTGGGATGAGTCACTAGGTCTTAAGTAAGATCAGGGGTTCGAATCCTGACATTTACGAATGGATCAAACTGGGTTGGAAGGGTTGCCCTCGCCTCTGCATTACTCGATCTGGATTAATCGGTCAATAGATCAGATACCAATGATTAATTCAAAAAAATGGTCAAAAGAACAAATCCTAAAGATATAATGATCAAACTGAACTCATATATTTGGATGATTAAAATGAAAGTATGCCGAAAATTGTATAACTAAAAATTAATTTACAAAAAAAAAAATCCAAAAATAACATACGATCATGACAAATGTCTTTTAAGTAAATTTATGAATTAAAGTGAATTTGTCATCATCTTAATATCATAATTCCATTGTCCACCTTGAGAAAGACGGATAAGAAGGATGGCAATAAAAACTGATTATTTTTGTTACCCAGCTTCTGCTTACCTCAAGTCTCACACTCCGATCCTTCCGAATTAGAGTTCCCCCAAATTATCATATATATGTATGTGTACGTACAAATATGTGTGCGCCCAACAGCTCTCCCTCCAGTTTTCCTCTTTTTTCCCGACTGAATATATGAAGTCCCTTTTATAGGGTTTACATTTCTTTTATATTTATCGAAAATTAATTATATTTTGCCAGACTTTAAAACCAACAAAAAGAAAGAAGAATTCGTGCCAATTGGCAGACCATTGTCGGTAGTTGATGGGTACGAAGGCATGGCAAACGAGGTTGCTGATATTGGTTTTATGGTGGAGGCTAACGTGCGCCGTCTTCGTTCCACTTAGGGTTCCGTTCTGTCCCAGGGTCTCTGTTTCCGACGCGATATTTGATCTCCGGGACTCCTATTGTCCAATTACCTCTGCGTATGTTGAATCTGTCGACTTCCTTGGCGTTACCGAGGTACCTTCAGATTCGGTATTTCCTTTCAAGTCTTGTTCATTTTATCTTTTTTTGGCTGATTCGATACTAAATTCTGAACTATATTTTTACAAATTAGTAGTGAGAAGCCTTTTTATTTAGTTATAAGCTGATAAATAATAAGAAAAAAAAGGGAGTGCATTTAGGGTTTTTCCTTTTTGTTGCTTAAAAATGTAAAATTTGCTTTAGAATGGTGGAAGCATAATTTCTCAAGATTAGAGAAAAATACGCTAATTATCATGTATAAGCTGACAAATATGTGATCACAGAAAAGAAATCATTCGGTTTTTCATTTTTGTATAATTTCGCTGGATTAGTTCTCGATTGATATTGATGGAATTGGAGATATCTTAAATTTCTTTAAGCTTTTATTTATTTATATCAGTTCATTGCATTAGTTCTAAAGGAACCGACAATTTTTTTAAACAAAATTAATTCATATAAAAATTTGCGTTGAATCATGATTATACTTTTTGTCCTTGCAATTTTATTTACACTTTTTTCTTTGGTTCGGTGAAGGGAGATGAGGTT